TACGATTTTCAGTATTTGGAGGTTCTAAACTCTCCAGCAAAGTGCCTCTATCCCTGACAGAGAACTGAAGCACAAGCTGTGACAGCCAAGGTGCATGTGCTTGTAAGGGTGCTTGTCCTGCACCTTGCTAGGGTGCTTCCTGCCCCGGTTCTGGCCTAAACCAGCCGGCACTCCTCCAACCGCTGGGAACAGCTTGGGAGCTTTGTGAACACAATCAGTCATAGCCACTTGATTGGGATGCCAGAGTACAGTTCATGGCTTGTTTAATTCCTTACCACAGACATGGTGTCCTCTCACATCCCTCAGACCTCTCTCTGCTCACACAAGGATTCATGTTGCTTCTGATCTAAAGGAGAGCTTGGGTAAGTAAAAACTAGTTTGAAGGTGTAACTGCTGTCATAAATTGGGGGATAACTACTGATGCTTGTGACAACCACTAGTACCATGATGGTGTCTACAGAATATAAAAGCAATGTAATAAAATTGCTAATACAAAGTCACCTAGGCTACAAAACCTTGTTACTAAATTTCCTGCCCTGAGGAAATGCAAATAAATGTCCTTCTGCTTACTGAGTTACCTGCAGGCAGCGCAGGCTGTGGCAATACAGACAAACAGCAGATGCATTTCAGTAATGACTTTGTTCATGCATATGATCCCACCAAAGAAGAGTGGAGACAAACACCTTCTAAAGCAAATAAGAAACCAAGAGGGTTAGGTTGCTATGATTAAGTATGTTTTCTCCAGAACAAAGAGAGTTTCTGGAGCTTCAGTGGAGTATCGTTTAGACTCCTAAGCTCTCAGGTGGCAATTTGCAGTAGGGGCTTGGCTTGTGTTCATAAAAGTGATTAAGTGGAATGGAAGATATCAGCAGTATAGTATAAACCTCTTGTGAATAAGATCCAATAAAGCATTTTAGTCCTACTGTGCTGACTTAGTTATGAAGCTGAATATTATTCACAGGGTTTAGTCTTCATAAACTTCCTGTCCTTAGTACAAAGGTTCATTAAAGAGGGATAGCATTAACACTGTTTTGCAGCTGATCCACATAAATAAAATGTAAACAAAGTACAACTAGCCAGAGCTTATTTTCTCAGCTGTATTCTGGTGCTTTTTAATTTTGGAGAATATTGAACTGAACAGAGAGATTACTAAGGTATTTTTTATGTGAAATCTATCGAGGTATTTATTAGGACAAAATAAAGTATATATTCTTTTCTACAGTTCTGAACTCTCATCTTTCTTAGTTGTTTTACACTTATATGAAGCTTTTTCAATGCTGATAAACACAACAAACCTCACAATTACTTAAACCAGTTAGGAGTGTCACAGTGAGGTATAAAAATTCTTTCATTTTTGCAGGTGGGGTAATTGATGAAGATAGGTGTTAAGTGGACTTAAATTAGCCAATGTGTTGGTGATGTATTCCATGTTCTCAGGGTCTGGTTCCTGTTTTTCTTAGTGTTTTCAATCAATACTGATTGAAAATATAGCAATTGAACAAACTAAACTCTCCAACTCACAAAAAGGGAGTAGTTAAAGAAATTATTTACAAATTCCAAGCTGTAGCTCCACCTACTTTAACCTCTCATTGAAATCTGCCCTCCTCAAAATGGAGTTTGATAGCTCCTACATAATATATCCTTCCACGTGCTTTGCTGTGACTGCTCCACACACCGTCTGTGGGAGCCAAAGAACTGTTTTTTTAAATATAGCCATGTCTCTTGGTCACTTACCATGTTTACTGATACAGGTTCCTGCTGGGTCTTAGCTCATGCACTGTAAAGATATCTCATGTAAGGATGTAAGGAACAAGCTGTGCTGGGAGAGGCCTTGGGGTCTGAGAGGTTCCCTACCCTGTCTCTGGCATGGGCCAGTACCTGGTGATGAGGGGAGAGTGTAAGAACAGGCAGGGTGAATGCTCCTTACCTTTATGCCTTCTTATGGCAATGGGATAAGGTCTAACGGGCCCAAAGGTGCTGGCTTGCCTCTTGGTGGCTCACAAAAGATTTTCCTTCTGCAAGGCTGCAAAGTTAGCGTTAAAGATATGTATATTTTTGGCTTTCTACCATCCTGCCACAGGCAAAAGGCCCATAATTTAATTATGTACCACATGAAAGAAATCCAAAGAAACCAAAAAAGCCCTCACTTGTTTGGAAAAAAAGTAGATTCTGTATTACAACAATATGGCAACTCACGCAACAACTCTTCAATCCTCCCTGACACTCTTGTCTCCTAAGGCTCCTGTCATACTCTTCTGCTCCCTTCCCAGAATGAGAGACCACAGACAACTTATTTCCCTGTTGCAGAGCAGCCTTTCCACAACACTTGCCAGTCCCTGTCTTCATTCTGCCAGCTTTTCTTGGGGTACTTCTTCATCTTTCAGAAAGATGACTTGGAATTGCATGGAACTTCCAAAATGTAGTGAAGTCATGGATTTATGCTATTGCGTATGGAAGACTCAATGGAAGGATTTTTCATAGGTGGAGATTAATATTCAGGTGCAGATTTACCTGATGACATGTCTGCAACCCCTTTCTTTTCACTCATTACCCATTCATCTGCTGTAGCACTTTCTTATGTGGCCTTTTTTTTTTCATGTCAAATAATGTGGACAACGAATCAAAGACACGGCTGGCTGGATCTGGCCCCAGTAGGGTTCATTTGATTGTCTGTGTTGACATTTCCTAAAGGAGGACAAACTGCTCTTGTTGCTGACCCTGGTCAAAGATCTCTGGTAAAATAACATTTACTCAGCTGACATGGCAATTCATCCCATTTTTTGCCTTCCAACAGGATGGATTTTTTTCTCCCCCATGCCCTCAAAAACAAAGCCAAAGCAGTAACTTATGAAGGACAACTAAGGGAACAGAGACTTCGGGCTACTTGGTCCTGATATAACAGAGTCTGCCCTGCACTCAGTAGAGGTAATCCGTGCAAGGAAGGTGCATGTGAAGTGGTTTTATCCAATGCAGTCACAAGTGCAGATAATTCATATTCATCCCAGTTTTTTGAAAAACCTGGCAGAATTGGGATCATTAACTGTTTTTTTTTTTTAATTTTTTTTTTTACCAAATCACATCTTCTGACATTGTTAGGTGGAACTGTATTTCTAAACATGTGTCTGTGAAATCTCTGAGTCTCACAAAGTCACCAGTTTTGGAAGGAGCTTTTTCTTTTCCTTCTGGATTTTTGCAGTGAATCAAGAAGCATGAAATACTAAAAAGGCAGAAATAAATATGCCATTGCAGATCCCACTATTGCATTAATTCTCAAAAAAAGTGATCTAATTCAACTGTGTAGTTTTTAATTATATTTACTGATGTTTCCTGATGCATACTTCATTATTCTAAAGGCTTCAATAATATGAATAGAGTATTCTATGACTAAGGAATCAAGAGGTGAAATATATAAGAGAAAAGACAAAAGCTGCCAAAAGAACCGAACAAATAACTTTTTTTCTTTATTGTGATTTACAAAGCAAACACATGAGTTGCTTTACTACAGAAGCTGAGCAGCTTCATTCAGCACTTTGATGTGTTCAGGCTAATAAGCTATTCTACTCTACAAATTTGATGTGATTTCAGAAGCAGATTTAATTCTCAGTTAATTAATGTAGGTGAACATGAATAGCATTTTTTTTCCTGCACTGAGAGAAGTTGCTGAAAATAGGTGTCTCTGCAGGATGAAGCAAAATAGTCAGTGCCAGAAAAAACAGACTAAAGGCGAAAATGAAGCCAGGAGCTAAATCTCTCTGTAGGGTGTTTCTGGGGCTTCTACCATTATGATTTCCTCCTTGATAGAGCTTTGAACTCCTTAGCAATTTCCAGCTCTCAATGTAAGTAGCATAAAGCTATTAATGTGTACTCTGATAAGAGGACCGAAACAATTGCACCAGGAGAATAACATGTCATGACTTCTAAAGTGCCAAGTAAGTGCAACCTTCACATGTTGGATTTATCAGGACACAGTGAGGTATTTTATAGCAACACATTCCTGCTCTGCCTCCCTTATGTGCATATTCTCATACACAAATACCTACAAAAGGCTCCTCAAAGTTTCCATCACTGATCAGCCAGTGCTTGTGAGAGTGAAATATCTCTTGGTAATATTTTTAGCGGGCAGCTTACAGTGACCTTCTCCACAGAATAGAATAGATCAGCTCTACAGTTACTGAAACCTTGTTTTGACATTTTATTTAAATTTACATCTGTGTCATTGCATCCTAACATTACTCTGTTGAAAAAACGTTAAAAAAAAAAAAAAAAAGGGACATAGGAAGGAGGAGGAGAATAATAGATTCCAAGGAAGAAAACTGCAGTTCTTTCCCCCATATAATTTACATCTGTTCCTTTTACTGGTGACCAAATTCTGGCTCCTGAATTTGGGTCACATCAATCTCATACATCACTACAGCCTTAGGGAAAAGTGGCTGGAAAGCTGACTGGCAGAAAAGGACCTGGGGGTGAGCATGAGCTGGCAGTGTGGCCAAGAAGGCTGGGTGGCCAAGAAGGCCAGTGGCATCCTGGCCTGTACCACCAATAGTGTGGCAGCAGGAGCAGGACAGTGATTGTCCCCCTGTACTCAGCACTGATGAGATCACCTCAAATCCTGTGTTCAGTTCTGGGCCCCACTGCAGGAAAGACACTGAGGGGCTGGAGCATGTCCAGAGAAGGGCAACAGAGCTGAGGAAGGGTCTGGGGCACAAGTCCTATGAGGAGCAACTGAGGGAGCTGAGGTTGCCTAGTCTGGACAAAAGAGGGCTCAGGGGAGACCTTATCACCCTTTACAAGTTCCTGAAAGGAGGCTATAGCAATGTGAGGGTTGGTGTTTTCTCACATGAAACAAACAATTGAGGAAAAAAAGAAATTTGCACCAGGGGAGGTTTAGATTAGATTAGATTTTTTTAATTTTTTTTCTCCACTGAAAGGTTTGTCAAAACCTCTGGAACAGGCTGCCCAGAGAAGTGGTGGAGTCACCATTCCTGGAGTTATTTAAATAATGTAGATATCAGTTAGGGACATGGCTTATTGGGACCTTAGCAGTAGTGGGTTAGTGGCTGGACTTGTTCCTAAAGTTCTTTTCTGACCTAAATGATTCTTTCATTCTGTGATTCCATAGTCTTGATTGTGACAAGAGTTTTTCTACTTTCCCTTCTGCCAGTGTTGCACTGTTCCAAATATTCCTCAATATCTCTTTCAATCAGCATCTTTCCTTAATGTTTTGATTGCTTTCCTTGGGCTTTGGCTGCTGTGTATGTTTTCAGAGCCAAGAGATGCATTCCTTTGAATGTCCTCCTTCTCACTAACCAGAATAGTTTATACAGCCTTTGATCAGGAAACCTGGAATGACAGTAATTGTACTGAAGCTTGCTGGGTGCACTCCACCTCCAGACAGAAGGCATTAATACAGCTGCTCTCCTGTTTTAAGCAAGGTAACTGCCATAAACCTACCTGTGACAGCAATATCTGACAGATACAGCTGTACCAGAAAATGTCAAAAAGACTGAGCATCTGCACAATGATCCTGGCTGGACTTGCTCTGACCCCAGGCCTGAGGTGTACTCTTCCACTGTAACATCTGCTACTACCGTGGTTCAGGGTAATTACAAGGTACATCCCCTTCTAACTGGCAGGGAATTGTAAATTTGGAACGGGTAAAATCTCCCCAACCTGACTGTCTTGTGTGATGACCCTGTTGGTAGGGCTCAGCCCCATCTTTGCTGGGACAGGAAGACTGCTGTACTTGTATGCAGAATGTGCATGGCTATGCATGATGGCTTCATGGAGAACAGCTTAACCAGACATCTAATCTGGCCTGGAGGGAAGAATGATTTTACAGTGTGTATTCATTCTTTTATTCATTTAGCTCTGTCTTTCTGCACTAGTGGGTAGGAATAATTTTTTATATTCTATTCTTTGAATAATACTAGAAATCTTGTCACCCAATTTTATCATGTCCCTTGTTACTCATTAGAAATTTCAAAACCAGACATGCAACTTGGAACAATTTGGATATGTATGTGAAGATGGGTCACTGAACATGCACTACACTGGAGAAGGTAATTTTTAAATTGTATTCTATTTATCAACGATTTCTTAGACTTTTATTTTTTTTAAAATTGTTGCTGTTGGGAATTATGGTAAGTTATAATTCCAAAAAAGAGGTAGCACTAACATTTCTCACATATGATGCCTGATGTGACCTCATAAATCTTTGTACCTCAGTAGTTATAATAGTTCTCCAGGTGTAAGTCTTCAGGCTAGTGGTGGCCTAAGCAAGAGAAGTGGTTATATTCTTTTTTCCTCTGTGCATCTCTGGAGTAGCCCTTTTGACTCAGGATTTGTGGGAAGGTTGATCAGCTTCATAACATGTGGGGATGCCCCATGGTGGCATAACCCTCCCTTCTGTCTACAAACTTGAACTGCAATCTCTGCCTCCAAATCCAAACTTTCTCAACATTTGTGAAGCTGGGATAAGGCTTGGGGTTTGTTTCTGTTTGAGACTTTGGAGATTTTTCATCCTTTCCTTTGGACTCTGCTGACCCCGTCGGTTCAAAGTTGACACCTTGAACATGAAAGCCTTAAAGTTCTAATTAAACTGGCTAGCAAAGGAATGTGAAAAATCTCAGCAAGACTGTGAGGCAGAGATTGATAAAACATGGATTTAGTTTGTAATTTAAAAGGCAGGTTCTGTTAGGATTAAAAACTGAACCAAGTTCATGCTCCCTCAGACTTTGTACTTCCACTTCCTTTAATTGCAAGGACCAAGATAACTGAACAGGAGAAAGGAAGCTTTGTGCAATATTTACTTAGGTGAACACAAACCTGTTCCTACTTATTTGCTTATGGCTTGCTCACAATTACTTGGCCATCCCAGAGACCAGGCAAGACCATTTCTTTCTTCTATCTGATGGAGGCAGTCATAAAAACAACTCCTCTCACCCAAACCAGGAACTGCTTTGTTGCACATCATGGCTCAAGGCAGATCCACCCTACTTCCTGCCATAGACCAGCCTGGCTACATTGCTAAACCCTACACAGATTAATGACAGATTAAAATGCTGAATGTCTTAGTGGGCCACTAAGGCAGGGTTTCAAGATGCAACCTCACTTCCCTGTGGTAGACAATGGGGCGAGGAAGGGCATCCTTGTTCTCCCCTTTCCTGCTCCAAGGCTCTTCCTTTGTGGGATGGCAAGAAGCAGGCAGAAACACCTGCCCTCCAGCCTTCCAGAGCCTTCTGCCTTGCACACCACCCTGGCAGACAGGAGGCTCTGGGCAACTCTCATTCTGAGAGGTAACTCTCAAATGAATGTTTTCAGCTATTTTGGTGGGTAGCCTCAGTGAGCAGGGTTATGATATAAGTAAAAGCTCTCTGTCCCAGAACCACCACTTTCAAAACATGCTTCAGTGTTTCATGTGGCATGTTTCAGATTTCCGTGTGACACTCATGAAAATTATCTCTGAATTCATGACTGCTTTCACTTGCCAAAGCCACTAAATCTGCTTAGTTTACATTAAAAGAGTAACCCTCAAAATCCCTTTAGATGAAATCTTCTTGACACATTCCCTCAAGAACTTCCAGAAGGCATAGGACATGCCAGCAACTCAGTCCAGATCATAGAATCACAGAATGGTCTGGGTTGGGAGGGCCTTCAAGACAATCCAAGGCCTTCCTGGATCAGGAAACTTTCAGACCAGGTTTCTCGGAGTAGAATCATGTATTTTGGACTAGCATCAGTGAATAATCTTATTATGTCATCTGATCCATGATAGCCAATGGCCACCAAACTGCATTTCCCTCCCCTTTTTCTTTCTTTTTTTGTCTTTCCTAAACATGACTTGGACGAGGAAAAGCTGCATTTTGTTCAACACTGTAATCTTTGGACCCTGAATTAAGGCAGTTGCTGATTCCCCATGAGGAGCCCTGGCTGGCTGGTGCTCTTGGTCTGCTGAACAGTTTGAAACTCTAGGTCAGTGCTTAGTTCTAACACCGTTGCATTTAATCTCTGTTTTCAGAGCATACTAGTGCTAAGGGCACAGTATTTGCCTCTGCTGACTACAGTTAATACAGGCTCAGCACAGCAGTCATATGTGCTGCAAATTGCTCTAGCCCCGCTATCTGATGCTATACATTACACTCCCTAGTCTCAAAAGAGTTTGCATTCATCTTACTTGCCTTTTTTTAGAGGTGGCTTGAGACCTTCTAGAAAATTGCATTTTATGTGGCTTATCTCCACAGATTCACATTCCACTCTGGCTCTGATTTATTTGCTACAGGATGTCAGCAAATCTGAAAGTGCCTAGCCAAGTCTTCATGACAAAATTGTACAGGGTGGGCAAACAAAGTGCTCGGTATGACTGGGGATTCAGGGTTGAAGAGACTCTGGACTTTAGGAGCTTAGGGAGAGACTAATAAACAAGAAGGCATCTGAGACTGTAGCCACGAAGCTGCTTCTCTGGGAAAAGGGATGGCCTGCATCCTTACTGCTGCTCCTGATGCTTTTTAGCTGATGACATTTAATTAAGAAATGCACAAGCAATGTTGGGAAAGGCAGTGGTGCCTTTGCTTTCTCAATTGGCCCTTCCCTTCTCTTTGCTGGATACCCAGGCTTAGACTAGCTGGATGGAAGATAACTGTCCCTTGCCCTGCCTCCATGGGACTGGGTCATCTGTGGGACACAGGGCAGTGCCAGAAATAAGATACAATCAGTTCCAGATCCCAGTTTAAGAGGTTTAGATCCCATCCCAGACCCGGCTCAAGTGTGAAGGTGACTCAGAGCACCTCTAAGTAAGGCAGGGAGGTCTCACCACTGAACCTCAGTGGTAGTGAGTAAGGAGCATGTCTGGAGGCTTAGTGAGGTTCCTGAAAGCAAGTTTTGTACTTGTTTGATCCTGCCACAATGCACATCAAAATCCTGTTTCCCTGATGAGGCGGCTCCCACCTGGGTTTCCTTCACTTGAGTGCAAACTGGTGTCACTGTGGGGTGGGTATTACTCAGTTGCAAGGTCAGGGCACAGCCAAGACTTGTCCCTACATTTGGGGACACAGAGGCTCCTCTGTCTGCGTCTGGACAATAAAGCTGAGTAAGGCTGCCTGGGAAATGAAGCTGCTCATTTGTCACCATGATATTTTCTGAAAAATACTCTTTGCCCAGGACTTTTTCTCCTGAGAAGCTGATAAGCCTCAGAGGAAAAGAAAAACAATATTATCTGATGTACTCCTCCTGTTTTGCTGCTTTGGAATGCGGCAGGTGCATGTTTGATTGGTTCCATGTGAATTGTTTTAATTTAATGACAAATCATGATACAGCTGTGTCGAGGCTCTGAGGAGTCACAGGTTTTTATTATTCATTCTTTTTTAGCCTTCTGATATATCCTTTTCTCTATAGTTTAGTATCATTTTAGTATATAATTTATTTTAATATAATAAATCAATGTTCTCAAACATGGAGTCAGATTAATCTCTTTGCTTGTCCTGGGACCCTCACAACGGTAGCACTCATTTACCTTGGAGGAAGACTATATGCCTTCCTCAGCTGTGGGAAGTCATAGAATCATAGAATAGTTTAGGTTGGAAGGGACCTTTAAAGACTATCTACTCTAAGCCCCTACAATGAGCCAGAGCATCTTCAGCTGGATCAGGTTGCTCAGAGCACCATCCATCCTGACCTTGAATGTTTCCAGGAATGGAGCGTGTATCATCCCTCTGGGAAACCTGTTCCAGTCTTTCACCACCCTCACTGTAAAAAAGTGTTAGCCTAGAAGTGTTTAAGCAGGACAGAGGAATTTGTGCCATCATCTTCCTGTATTTCATGACACTCTTTTATTTCCTAGGGGCAGGCACCCTACAGAACAGGAGACAGCTGTGTAAGCAAGTGAAATCTCTGCTTTCTGCAGCAAGAAAGGGAGAGGTTTCCTACTCTCAGGACAATATCAGATTTTGTTTTTCTGAATTATTTTGATGTTAGTGTCTAGAAAGCAGAGGTTTATGGTCTGGGTTTACTTTTTTTTTTTTTTTTTTAAAAAAAGTGTTTTTTTTTTTTGTTTTTTTTTTTTTTTTTTTTTTTTTTTTTTCCTGCTGGAAGTCAGCCTCATCTTTGTCTATTCTGCCTTGGATCTTGCTTTCTTGGCTACAATATAGCTCAGATTTCCATTCCCAAGAAGGATCAATGTGCTCTGAGTCCTGTTCTAACACCCTGCTGGAACCTGGGCATCCAGGAAGGGAAAAGCTCAGTCTGCTCCAGTGCTGAAGAGCACACCTAGTACAATAACCCATACCATCTTCTGCTTTTATTTACTACTCTGACCTGCTAATTGTCATCATGACCCAATTTTTCCCTCCTACATCCTTCACTGACTTGATTAAATCTGATGAGCAGTGACCTTCTGAGGCACATGGTGGACTGTTTGGAACATTCTGTTTAGAAAGAGGCAGAGAAAATATTGCTCTTGAAGTTTGGCTTGGGGTGTTTGGTGTTACAGGTGCAGTGGCTCAGGAGACGTCTCAAATAACCATCTGATGTAAGATCAGTTGAGCAACGTCGCCAGGGCATGGTAAAATCAGACTTTATGCTGTTGAGACTTCTGCCAGTCAAAATGTTAGGCCTGCAAGTGCTCATTCCTGGTCCTTTCATTTAAAAAGCAGTCAGTGCCTCTGGCCATTGCAAAACTGGTCATCACAAACCAGCATCTCTAACAACTCTTGTTATCAGATGTTGAGTTTGTAGTGAGTGGTCTTCATGATCCTGATTCTACCTTTCCATTACATGTATATTTAAACTGTATATTAAATATACAAGAATTAAATGACTTTACATCTTGGGTATTACATTAAATCCTAGTGAAAAAAAAATTTCTTCCTGTCAAAACTCTAACCACAGCTCTTCTTACGGGTGCACGAATGACATCCAGAGAGATATCCCTGTACTAGGGAGGAGGCAGAGACACTGACCTACTTATTTAAAGGGAACAGATCTGAGTGCTACTCTGAGAAGGACTCAAAAGTCCCATTGTTCCACCTTACAACCAGCAGCAAGAAGCTCTCTTAAAAATGAGAGTTTGAATCTCTCTCTGGTGCTCCTCAGAAGCACTTGCTGATCCTTCCTTGGCTGTGTGGAAAGTTTAAGATCCTGGTGTCCTGCTATCCAAAGAGGAGGTGAAGCAGTGCCTGGGTGAGGAGCACAGTCAGGCTTGAGGAGCTGCCAAGGTGTGCCCCTGTTAAAGGCTTCAGCCCAAGACATTTCCCTAGGAAAGGAAGGATGTGAATGGATGACTCCTACTTCAAAGTACTTGAAAGTAAGTTGGGTACTGTACCTGCAACTTATTTAGGCACTTAAAAAAAAATCCAGTTAGATAATTTAAGTACTCAGAATTTCTAAGTGCTAATCTGGAGCAAGGTTGTTGTACAAGTACTACAACAGAGTTCAAAATCTCTCTTTTTATCCAGTTTTTCTCTTGTGTCTATGCATGTTCAGGCTCCAGAGAAAACTCAAGCTGAACTGACCCCAATTATGTGCTCTTTGAAGCAGAGAGTTACTAATTTTTGAAACAGTCTTATATTTTTATCACAGTCCCTTTACAGTCTACAGCAAGAAAAGGCAACAATAAATTAAATTTGCATCATATATTGTTTCTGAGGGACATCACAATGCCATTATTATCTTCAAATACTATAATTTTTCTGAAATTTTTGAGATTTTTTCTTTGAATTTCTATTGAAAACAGTATTTAGACCAAAAGCACAATCTCATTTAGTAACCACCTCTCCCAAGTTTAAAACTTGATGCTAGTGCTCATTGCACAAATTAAATATTCTAGGATCATCTTTATCATCATATTTTTTTCTGTAATAGTGACAAAATATAACTGGTACAGTTACCTGTGGTATCAAGGTCAGTATATTTAATACAGGGGTTTTGTTTTTTATTAAGAGCAGGGCATAGTAGTCCTACAAAATTCCTTGAAAACAAACATCCAGACTTTTTTTTGTTTTGTTTGGTTGGGTTTTTTTATTGTGGTTTATTTTGTTGTTGTTGTTGTTTTCGGTTTTTTTAAGGTGGTTTTTTTTTGTGTGGGTTTTTTTTGTTTTGGTTTTTTTTATGGTTACCTACAGACATGCCTAGCAGGTAGAAAGTTTGCAACATGAATGACAGTTTTGCAGGCTGGAAATGCAGGAGTTAACTAGTTTGAATTTTGAATGAAGCCTAATAAGCCATCCGACTTAAAGTAAACAATGGTCTGAGTTACATCATTTTTGTTTTTATTAGCTGACCTTGCAAGCTAATAAATTCATCCTGTATTTTTCTGCTACTGCCAGTTTGCAGCATACAGGAAACTAATCTTGTACAATAACTACCTTCCTGTAGTCAGTTCTTAAATGGAGCCAAATGGATTGGTGGCGGAAGAACTCCCCAGCAGTTCCTGTGAAACAGTGCTGAGCACAGCAAGACCTGACAGAGGCTGCTTGCTATTATTGACTTTGACAATGTAATTATGTTCTCATTTACCTCCCTAGCACTTAAGAAAAAAAAAAAATCCCCTCCCAGTACAAAGACTGCAACGATTTTAATGTCAAATTAATTGTGAGATAGGTATTTGTAACATGCTAAATCTAAAGCAATTTCTCAGATTTTTTTTTTTTTTTGAGAGGGTAAAATACACTTGCAGCGGCCATTATGGCACAAAGGTCTTTCGTATGTATTTGGCTGCTGCAGCAACACTTTGTTCCAGATGCAAAGGCTCCTGCTCACTAGTGAGTTAATGAAGGGTCTGTATTCTGATTAGAAGCCTGTGTGTGTGCTCTGAACTTTAAAGACAGACTACCATTAATGTAATATCCTATAGTATACTACAAATGAACCTAGGATCGCTTTTTTTTCAGGGGCTGAGCTGTTTCTTTCAAGTTTGGAGATGTCCACGGGTGTTTTGCATACTTAGGAATGGTTTCACCTTGTGTGCACTGAGATGAGGTGCAGGAGCTGCTGAGGATTCCACTGTTGCAAGGTCAAAGCCGAAAGCAGATCCCCAGCGTGCTGCGGCACCCCGGACACGTGCAGGGGGAGGACATGGGAGTGTACAACACTGATATCCTCAGTTTGCCCCACCTGGGGGGAAAACCTCCAAAAGGAAGGTCTGCGATTCAATCAAGTGAATTAAATGTCTGGACAACAGAAAATTAACATGGAAAAGCTTTGATTGCTTTGATCTGTCGTGACGTGCTTTTACCAAGAGCGTTCATCTCTCTGACTTCCCATCCCCCATCAAAACAAAGGAAAGGACCAGAAGAAAATATTTCAATGACATTTTTGAAAAAAAAGTTTTATTATACAGTTTCCCCCCTCTAGTTCCTGATTATGCCTGACTTCTACTTCATTTGCCCTCTCAGAAAAGGTTAAACACCAAGAATGGCTCACATATTGCTCTCCAGGGAAAAAGACCATGATAGCTTCCGAGCTGTGACTGTCATTACTGTAAAGCATTTATGAGAAATCACACAAGCTACTCCACTAAAATGGATACATTTCTCTGCAGCAACTTTTATTTGGACTCTATACCAGCTGTAGCTGTGAGTACAGCTGGGTGGAGAGAAAGGGATAGAAAAACAAAATTAATTTCTTCTTGCTGAGTCTTCTAATCTGTGATTTTTTGTTTTTAATTTAAAAAATATAACTGAGACCTGAACTTAACTACTGGAGTTCAGTATTCCATTTCAAATGAAAAGAAAATGTGTTTTGTACACACAAATCTTCTGTAAATGTTTCTAGATTTGTTAGGCAAAACAGTTACTTTAAGAGAAATGAGCAATTTGGATTGAGTGCTTCTTGATTAGTGACTTAATGACATTTGTTACTTTGTAAAATGGGATATCTTCTTAAAAATTCTGCACAGGAACTGCTGCTGGAGTGGTTCTGGAAATGAAGTGGTTAATGATGGTCAGGAAGACAGCCTGTAGATAAAACAGAAACATACACTGTTAATTTAATTCAAATATGGAAATGCTTGCTGTTAAGTAATGGTTTCTAGTATACATCGCTGGGTTAATCTTCACCCTTTAGCCTTCATCACTGAGGATGTTTAAGGTCCCAGAGCAAGTGTCTTAAATGCATGTCCTTTGCTTTGCAATCAGGGTAGCCTGAATCCACCCTCAGACACTAATGGCATCATAACTCAATCCCCACAGGGCCCCGTTCCTCCACATATCATGTCCCTCCTGGCTGAGACAAGGGCCCTGTAGAAGATGATATGTGATCCTGTGATTAAAGATATTGCAAAAAATCAGGCTGCAAAAGTAATGTTCTGGTCTTTCTCAACCTTTGAATAGGCTTAGCAAGATATTCTTTAAAAAGTTTAACATTTGGGTTAGTTGTTTTTGTAAAAACCTAAAAATAAGGAGATGAAGTACCCACAGGAAAAAGCAGACCCCTTCCCAGAATAATATTGGATTCTGATCTGTGATCTGTTAAGCTGGATCCAGACTGCTGGCTCTCTAGGTTGTATCATTTAATAAAAGAGCCTGCAGCAGCTGTGAGAGCTTAATGGCTGTTTAGGCAGCTGTTTAGACCAGCACGGAGTGGGGCAGTGTGCTTTGCCATCCATTGCACAGACATGTCCCCTGGGCTCAGCTTCCCATTTTGAAAATGAGCAGTTTATAGGCAATCCTCTCCATGCAAACAGAATGTCTCTGTCCCTGGCCTCCTATCCAGTGATCATTTAACATGGCTCCCATTCTCCACCCCACTTTCCTTCTTCCACTTTTCCTCCCTGCCTCTCTTGCCAGCCCTGGCTCACTTCTCCAGGTGCAGATCTTTGCCTGGTCTGAGACTCCCTCTTGCTACTCATCTGCCTCTTATCTAGGACCGCGTTCCCCAAGCTTGCAGGACACCCAGAGAGGGAGGAATGGGAGCTCACTCTGAATCAGGGACTGCCTCTTGCAGCTCAGTGTAGAAACACTTGTGGGTGGAAGTCTCGTAGTGATCCCAGATTGCTCTGTGAAAAAGTTCAAACAATTCGATCATGAGGAAGACCTGTAGTGAAAAAGTCAATGAGAATGGACTCTTCAGTCCATCCAAATCTGCTGAACTCTATCAGAATTCTTGACAGCTCACTGCTGTCCTCATAAAATCAAAATTTCCCCATTTTTTTATGACACTGAAAGTTTTCTGGGGGATAGAAAAAGCAGAACAACTCAACTCCAATGTGTTTGAAGCCTTCACCCTGAAGTACATGAAAGAGAATAGAGATTGACAGTAAAATGACTTAAAAATATTTTCTAAGTAAGGAAAAGTGTGTGCTTCCATGATTTTGTTCTTGGAAACTGTCAAATCCTCAGCAGAAATGTGCCCCAATACATGGTACAAATGTATAATATATATCTGAAAAATAAAATCATAATACTCTATATCTGAATGACTCATTTAGTAATTCACTGTAAATGTTATCTTGTAATGGGTATTTTGGCAACCTTAGACTTAATTAGTGTTCAGTTTCTGTCTATAATGTTTAAAGAACACTGCTATGGATGGGTATGGTTTGCACATGGCTACAGGAGCTGTATCATTGCACCTGTCAGATTTATTGTACACATGTTCAAGATGTTGTCTGTTTTCCTTGAACCTTTAAGACACACATGTTTACTTGGGTTTTTTGTACAATTCTGCCTTCATAGCTCGCTGCACTTTCCCTCTGTACTTTTCAAATCCTGAAATGTCTTGTTTAATCTGAATAGACAAGAACAGAACGCTGTGTTCTAAGTGGAACCCTACCAGGGAAATGTATTATTCTCATCATTATCACTGTCTCAGACACGGAGAAAACCTGCTGTGAATGCTATTCTAGGGGCTTATTTAACTTCTTAGAGTCAGGAACAGAGAGGCACTCCCTTCCCTGTCTATCAAACCAGGCTCTGTCTCTCTGCTTCATCCAAAACCACATCTGGGTGCTCAAGTTTCTAATCCTTTATTTTCAAAGAAATAATGCTTCAATTATCTGCTGGTTTGAGTCAATTTTGTCAGTTCAAACAAGCAGTTTTGCAGTCCTATAGGAAGATTTCTTTTAGGATTTCTGAATTACTTAAGCAAATCTGCATCTGATTTGACTATAAACATGATCCAACTCCTGATTATTCATTGAATAATTTACATGGACTCTGAAACTCACTAATATTTGCACACCAGTATGTAATTTATTGCTCCAAATAGCACCTAATTTATTCATAGCCATTGATAGCAAAGAATTTAATTCCACAAACTTTCCATATTTTATTCTGTTTACATCGTACTACTTGGAAACTGTTTTAGCTCCTCAAAGACCGTTGAACACAGAGGACTTTTCGGAAAACAGTCAAAAGCCTATGCATAACATTGAGTAAAGAATTACTAAGAATTTCTGAGACTCTGTACTAAAGATTTCAGGTATTTAGCTATATATTTTGGAGCAAAATGTTTATTTTATTAACTTTGTTTTGGCACCAGTGCAAAAAAAGCCTGAAATGCTTCCATTCCAATTTAGCTGCATTTTAGCCGTCTTTTGCTGAGTTGTACATGATTCAGCAAAATGCAGATAATCTGGCCTCTGTACTTTTCCAATTGACCCTAATTTGCAGGTACTGTGGCAGGACAGATCAGTGTTTCTTCCTCTGTGCAGCTGAAAACAAATCTTTCTTTGAATGCTGAAAGCTGACTCTGTCCCTTTCCGACTGCTGAGACCTCCTGTGAGCTTAGCAAGCTGTGGTGGGGAGCTGATCTGTCACAACACATCAGGATAAGCCCCATCTGTGCTCCCTGAAGCCATCTCTTTGGGAGCTGCTCTAAGTCAGGCTGCTTCCCTACTCTGGGACTTATCCAGGACACTGTACAAATAACTGTTGGGGCAGGGGGGAATGCACATTCTTATGGTTCTCCCTCTGATTTGTGACTATATCTAGCAAGTTAGAATTTCACATGTCCTCTCTGATGATGTCCTGCACTACCCTTATCTTCTGCTGCTTGGGAAGAGCATGGATTTTCTGTATCTCACAGAGGAAGGCTTAGAATTGTTGTTGGAGTATTTGAAGACTTGTCCCATACTAAGTCAAGCCATTATTGTAAGAGATAAAATGCTGACCATCTGAGTGATAAAACTTCCACTTAAGGATTATTTTCTCTCCCGATTTGTGCTGCCTTCTTAATAGGTCTGTTCTCTGTTGGTGCCTGCAAAGAAAGATGACAGCAATATTTTTTGAAGTTCAGCTCATTTTCAGATGGGATCTGCAATATCTACTTTAAGTAACAACAGTACCTAACTATTTGGTACCCTGAAGGCAAAATTCCAATAACTCACAAAAAATGGAGGAAATGCCACCAAAATACATGACAAGTGCCAAAATCCTGGGTACAGGCCACGTAGTAGCTTCAGATTGGGTGTCAGGATTAAAAAAAATGTTACCTGTGGGTTATGCAGAAGATCAGGAGGAAGAAAATGCACGTAAGCACGCAGAAATTTTTATTAATGTTTAGGTGAACTGCACTTACCCTCCAAGACATCACAACACTTTCTAGAAACACAATGTATGATAAGGTGTTATGACTTTCTGGAATCACTGCAGTGTTTGTGAATTATTCATGAAATTAAAATTCCAAACGAATTTACAGCATCAAACAGTTCTGGCAAGTGGCATATAATGCTGGAAACAAAAATATACACTACATATTAATCCAGAAAAACTCTCTTATCCCTTAAATCACTGGGCCCATACTGTTGTACTCACTCTCAAGCCTTTAAGTCTTTACTTAAAGTCTTGAGAAGTACTTTAAGTCTTTAGAAGTGGGGTTTTTTCCACTTCTCAGGATTTAGATATTGTGATTCTGTGCTGTGAAAAGGTTGCATTAGAAATGGCTCAGAAGTCAGCAAACAAAAGTCTTGGGGGAAAAAAATGCAGCCAGTAGAGATGCGCAACTGTGTTTATATTCTTCTTCTAGAAAAAAAGGGTGGGTACAATGTTTTTCTTTATTTTTGTGGTAAAAAAAGGTGTTAATAGGTGCAATATAGGAGTAGGACAATCATGTAAACAGTGTGATCAGTGAAAAACCTTATTTTTCTGGCAAGTGCTTCCTTAGATTCAGTTTCAAACCTCTCGAGAATGCTGGCATTTGTCTAAAATTGCAAATGAATTTTATTTTTGTACAGTTTGCATCCAAAAGGTGAATAATTTCCAGTGAAGGGAGGTCAGCTCTCAAGTTAAATCCTAACTGATCTTTTCTGGGCAGTTCGGTGTTTTGTGAATGTTTGCTCAAATATTAAAGTCCCGAAAGGTGGAAAACAGGTCTGGGAAAATGTTACAAAAACTGTTCAAATATTTACACAGCCCCACTCTCCTCAAGGATATATACACTGATATTTTCAGTCTCTTCTGAATAATGAACAATACATATTCTGGATCTGTTCTGCTCCTGTCTTAGTCAAGGGTGTTATCAAATCTAGAAAAATTAGTGGAGATATATTATTGTGAAACTGGAGCTCTGCGGTAGGAAGTTAGGCTCACTTTTGGTTTAACATATGAAAGTAAGGTATACAGATGTCTGTTATGATATCAGACCTTATTATTCTTTATGGAAAAATGAACCACCATTATTCCAGTTAAAACTGGAATATGCACTTGCATTTACACAGTTACCCCATTCCCTAGTTTTCTGACCTCCCCAGGAACATAAACACACATTCTGAAATCACCCTTTTGCAGCTCAGTGTACTCTTCCATTTTCCATTTTCTTCTTTCCGACTTTTTCTCCAGAAAGAGACACTTCTCTGGAGTAGTACTTGTTTATTACACATTAGGACACTAGGAAAATGAAGAGTGGTACCTGATTTGATGACAATGTCCTTATCAAAAGTCAGATCTCTAGGAAGAGCTTCATAAGGAAAATACCAGTTCTTGAACCTTCAGAATTTGCTCTTTCAAGGGCCTTTTTACAGCAAAATGCTCAGTTTTGAATAGAGATGTTAAAAAAAATTTAAAAAGTACAAAGTACTAACTGGTAAAAAAGAAAGGAACTCAGGACTCACAGGTAACAATGTAGAGATGCCAACTGCTTCCCCTACTTCCCAGAAACCCTTAATTTTTTTTAAATTTAATGCATTAATCAATTCCTATGTGCTTTGACCTAGTATATTTTGAAAGTCCCAGACTTCTGAGAATTGTTCCTTCAGTCCTGTCTGGGCCGGAGTCTGTAGGCTGTGGATGTCAGTATATTAAAGGAAATTTAGGTATGAAAGCACCCCTGCATTTATGTACAGCTTGTAAAGGAAGGAAAGACAAAATGAGTATTAGGAAAGACCAGGAGCTCAGATGACATGCCTGTTATGAGGAAATGGAGACTTTTTTAGCAGGTGCTGCCATCTGCAAAGCAGAGTGCTATAATAGGGACATGGGGACTGGCGTCAACACCCCGTGCAAAATACCTGGCTTCAAAAAGCTGCCCTCAGCTTTCTCAATGTTGTTTATTCAATATGGGGAGCTAACAGGAGAGAATTTATCACAACAGTTAAAAACCACATCCCCGGCAACTACAAAGATGCAGAAATATTGCATACAGGCAATCACACACAACCCAGAATAGACTTCTTGCAGCTCAGTTCCCATGGCTTCTTAGTCATCTCCTTTTGTTCTCTTCTTCTAGAAGACATTCATAACATAGCAGTTCTCACCTTTCTCTTCAACAGGAAACCACTGGACAAGGCTACCTGGTCCCTATTTTTCATATAGTGTGAATATGAAAATTCAAATATCTCTAAAAACTGCTGCAAAGGAAACATTTGAACATTTTTAATGTGCTGTTTCACAGTATAACTGCAAGGAAAACTACTTCTGTTAAGCATTCAGACTATTTTGGGGAGAGCTGAAAGCCTTGTTTGAATCTTTTTACGTTTTCTTGGCAACAAGTATCTCCCTGCACAAAGACTGCTTACATGTCTATGTATGCAGTTACTGCCTTGCTGCTTCCCAGTTATTTCATCTACAGAATTTCCCAAGTGCTTAATCTGTCCTGGGAGAATTAATATGGAAATTGCCACATCTGGAGTCTATAGAAATGAAAACTGTTGTCACAGCAAATGGGGAAGGGAGATGTGTGCCCTGCAGCAGTTTGTGCAACCTGGCTAACACAGGCACAGCCCTGTGTGCTCTGTGGCAGGAAAATCTCTTTGCACCCTGGCTAGAAGTGACTGCTGGGATGAAATGTTTCCATGAAATTGGTACCTATATTAACTGCTTTCATCTATATCTCTAAATGAGTTTTTAACCTGCCATGCAAATATTCCTGAGGAACAGGAGTTAGGAGGGGTGCTTGTTTTTACGTTGCCATTTTATTTGCCATATCTCAGCCA